GAACTCCCTTAAACATTAGTTCCACAAGAGACCCAACAGTAACCAAACCATGAGCCAGCAGCTTGGCCGAACGGGGCCAAGGAAAAAAACTGCCCTTTTAACCCAGGCCAGAAACCTAGGACAGACCCTTCGGCCCTAGGTGGGTGGTCAGTCTGGCTTCGACCAGTTGGGTGAGAAAAGAGAGAAATGATTATGCTTGGTCGTTAGTGGAGAAGAAGGCTAAAACTAAAATGGTGCAAAAAAACCGGCTTTAACTAATTAGGTCAGACTTAAGGAAGGCCAAAGTTTAACGACCCGACTTTAAGCATAAGAACACGCAATTAGCAACCTGTTATTGCAACCAGCATTCGTATTTCAGCTACTAATGAAGCTATTTGCACTCATAAATAATTCAGTTAAACATTTTGTAAAATGGTGATGTCAGTCATTCTCCACAAGGAAAAAATTTTTCCCTTGCTGATAGGTATGTAACTGCATTGAAACTTAAATGAGGAAACGTTTCCAGTCAAACCTTCAGCCACAGTTCCGTAGGACGGATTCTCAGATGCTGATTGCGGCTGGTGATGAATCCCACTCTTTTCTTAGGATCTGTCCATATATTTTGCAGGTGCTTTCACAGAAGGAAAAGAGGGTTCAGTGCCGAGGAAAGTGGAGAAGAAGGAAGAAGATCAGGAACTGCCCTGAATACTTGCGACTGCAATCAAATGGTTGTCAGGAAGATAGGTGAAATCTGCAAGAATGTCCAACAGGTAGAACTGCAGTCTCCGAACTACATCACAGATTGTTTTAATTTTTCAAATTTGTTTTAAAAAAAATCCAAATACAAATGAAGTAAATGTGAAAAATAAAACAATTGGAATTTTCATTTTCAGCTATGAAAAGTTTTTTTCCAAACCAGAGACCTGCCCCAAAACCTTAAGTGCCAAAACATGAATGTGGTGTAAAAATGCATAATCTGTCACGTTTACTATATATTTATATATATAATATAATATACTATATATATATATTATATATATAGAAAATAAGATATATAGTTTTATTATTTATTAATATAATATTTATTATATATAATATATATTAATTATTATTATTTAATATAGGGTATAATGATAATATTAATATATATATAAATATAGTATATAATATTTTATATATTTATTATATATATATATTATATATATTTATATTTATTATATATATTTATTATATATATATATTAGTTATAGCAACTAACACATACATCAACACAGTCCAATAAACACTATGTGTAGTTGCTTGTGAAACGCTTCCTTTGTTTGTGTGTGTGTGTAGCGTATGCTACTGCAGGACCTACATGACAGTCATGTGTGTAACTCTCTGCTGGTGGCTGAGAGTGAGGAAGACATCTGGAAGAACGAGTCTCTCTACAGGCAGAGGCTCAACGCCTCCGATGGTAAGTCAGAAGAAGGTGCAGATAGTTGGGCTTTTTATTTGTTCAGGTTTTGAGATTTATGTTTGTCATTTAATGTCGGCTTTTTGTAGTTGTAAATACTTATGTGCCCTTGCCCTTACACTGGTTGACCCTGTCTACACAGATTACAACACAGAGGAGAGCTACCAGGCCAGAGACTACCTGGCAGCTACCATGCAGTTCATCCCTGGACATTTTGCCTGTGATGTGGTGTGGAGCACAATCATCCACATTCACCCCCGTCTCAAGATGGGACCCAACAGGGGTGAGTCGTAGATCTGAACACTTGGGGTTTATATAAAGATCATGTTCCTATGTAAGTATGACATCCACAATGACAAATCTTTGCAAATCTTGCACAGGGGTTACAGTGGTGGAAAGTTTTTATATTCACATTAATGAATTAACCTCTTCTTAAAATGTATTTATTTTGCAATAATGCTCAACATGTTTTTTTCTCCCTATTGTAGCGATTCAGGCCCTGCGCTCTGTGCTGAACTCTTTCTGTGTGGTCAACAGGAAGAACATGTTTGTCTACCAGGAGCGTACAACTAAATCAGTCTTCTACCTCAGGTCAGACTTTTGACTTTTGAAAGTGAAAAAGCACTTCTTCACTGGATTTCAATCTTTCTCTAATTGGTTCAAGGTGTTTTTCAGGATTTTCATCCCCAAACTGACTAAAACACAATATCTTATACCCCTCCTTTACATGCAAGGGCTTTGGGACTGTTGCAACACAGCCAACCTGTAAACTTTATCCTTAAAGGGCAAGTTTTTTAAGGGAGATTTTTCCATCAGTCTGCTGGAAGGAAGAATCGACCTACAGATGTTCTCAAGGTAGTAGTGTATCAGAAAGGAAATCAAACTTGCTAGAAATTGAACTGCTGTCAAACACTTTATTGCGAGTAATTGTGATTTTGTGGTGTCCCGAGCCAGATAGCGGAGCTTCCATTTCATATTTTTAACTGTGAGATTGGAGGTTGTCCTCACAGTTTACAAATCATTTCACAACATCAACAAGACTGGGTTGGTATGATTCATCCGGGGAGTGAGCAAACGGAAGAGCAAATATGGGAAGTTAACTAAGAGCAAGCAAAGATTTAGCCGTGCTTCCATCTAAGTATTTTAATGCGAATTTAGAAGTATCACATTAGAAAAAGTTGATTTTGAAGAAATTAAAAAAAAAAAATCCTCGATAACCACTTGAGGTGTTTTTTGTTGTTTTTGTTTTTTTTCAAAAAAATGCTCTTAATGGGGGATTTTTCTGAATAAGCTCTGACGTAGCGAACATTTAAATCACATTACCGATGAGCTGTTTACACTCCGACAGTCTCCTCATTTCTCCCATGGCTCTATAATATATCCATGATCACATGATCCACACAGATCTGATGGAACCTTCCTATCATTAATATGTATGAGGGGACTGTCAAAAACAGGAAGTCAACAGTTAAAACAGGCTTACTTCAGTAATTTGTGATTATTTTCAGAATATTCTGTTTCATGATGGTTAAGCTCAGTCTTCTTGATCTACTGATGCTTGAATTGGACCATGTTTGTACGCCACTTCGGACAAAAGCATCTGCCAGTGAATATGTAATGTAAATGTATATGTCATTCAACTGACACAATATAGCAGGTAAAAGGTCTTAAAAAGACTGAAAGTTGCAGAAACGCAAGTTATCTTGCCAAGCTTGTACACAGCAGCAATGGTAGCTCGTATTAAACTGTTTGTCACAATTTGACCCTTTGCCTTGAGCAAATATGACACATTTTAGTAGTGTCACATTAGTCTTTGGTTTTGAGTTTCTAAGTTATTTACTGACTAAGTGGTGTAATTGACTTCTCTGGCACACTGACTTTCCAACACCTTCTTGAAAACATTAGCACATTAGTGCTCTCAGAATAGGTAGAAAACACTGGGGATGGACATGAATGATAAGAGAGAAAAAGGATAGATTAGTCAAAAAGGGTTGATATAAAGGTTTTGGAGAAACTTAAAGGGGAACTTCGGCAGATTTGTACCCTAGTCTTGATCACTAGAGGTCACCGAGTACTGTCGATAGGAAAAATAATATGTTTTTCCACCACTCGCTTCACCGAAAGCCCAGAATAATCGATCACGGAGATAATGCCTTCGCGACGAAAAAAAAGTTTATTTCCCCCTCAAAAAGCCATGTCTTCCACCAACACTACTTCCCGGTTTGAACACTTCCCTGCAACGAATTTCTTCCTTCGTTGGCGTTTCCCTCCCCCCACCAAGTGAAATCTCACGGACTGCCGCGACCCCACTTGTGTGCAGGTAAACGCAGGAAGAAGAAGAGAGTGGAGATCGGAGAAAGAGGTATCTCCCCCCAACTGGAAAAAACCGCGCAACCATTTCTTCTCGCAAGTAGTAAACCACTCTATTCTACTCCCCCAAGCCTTCTTTCTCCTTTGAACACCTCCGATCTCCACCCTCTCTTTTCTGATATCTGCATTTACCCGCAACAAGTGTTGCGCTAGTACTCTGTGATCTCTAGTGATCAAGACTAGGGTAAAAATCTGCCGAAGTTCCCCTTTAAGGAGACATCAATTCCATACCTTGTGTTGCTTGTGTTCATGTTTCCAGACTTTGTGAAACATCATTAACAGGGAAATACTCTGACATGGATGGAAACCTCCACATGACTCGCTCCATTGGGCTTGCCAGGAGTCAGGAGCCCTTGTTTCCAGAGGACCTTATGGTAAGTGAACAGATATATCTATTTTGATTGAAAACATTGTTATTGACATGTTTAGTTTGGTCATCAAAGTCTGGTTGTGGTTCTCATCAGAGCTGCTGATCAGTGAAGAGTTTGTTTTTACATATATATGTCAGTGTCCCCTATTAAGTATCAGTAACCTGAATATTAATCCTCAGATCCACTCAACACCCCCAAAATGACAAAACTAGCTATGCATTACACTCTGTATGTATGGCTGCAGCAGATAGACAGAGAGTGAGAAGGATAGGTTAACAGTGCAACGAGCTGTTAAAGGTTACATGTGTTCCCCGGCAGTAAAATGTGTCTCTAAAAAATCTTTTTCACTGCCATTTCACCAGTACTTCCAGTTCCGCAAAATTCCATCAAGGGCAGCGGAAACGCCTCCTGAAACTAAACAGTTTACAGCTCTATCGACTTTGTATCGACATCTTGCCTAAATTAGCACTGCACACAAATCTTCAAAAATTTAACTGAAAAATCCACCAAATGTTTCACCCATAGGAGGCCTGCACCGTCACCTCCTGTCAACTCTAATCACTGTAATGATGCCAAGGTGGAGCAGTGTTCCCTTTTCTGACCTGTTTTTTTCTGACAAAACCAACCATATTGTCTTAAAACCAGCGTCTGAACCAGGAAATAAAGATGTTAAAATTTAGGTAAAGAAAGAACAAAGAAGCAATTTACATTCATTGGTGACATTTCTGAGAGTAGAAGGAAGGGAAAGGGAAATGATTGGAAACATGATAGTTAATTTTCATAGACGTTTTTCCTTAATATAGTAACTTCCAGAAGTTGTGTGTAACCAAAAGTACAGAGGATAACAGAAAAGTTTTAGTTCAATGACTGTAATTCTCACCCTGTGCTTCTTTGCAACTTATCTGATGCTCTGAAGTCGAAATTAAACTGTGAGCTGCCGGTTATAGCATGTAGGCGATAAGGCAGGAAACCATGGCATATTTTGTCCTGCAACCCACACAGGCTCATTCTAGCAGGGGGTGATGGACAGTTTTGAAAGCACTTACATAAAGTAGCAGAAGTCATTCTCAACATACTCCCACCATATTTCCACACTGGCCCATGCCTGTGGAGCAGGCAGGAACTGGGTTACTGTGTAAATGCTAACATGAAGTGCAGTCTGCAGAATTGAATTCTCCTGACTTGTTGTCTGCAGAGGCAGAGTGGAAAAACAGATGTTCAGAAGTCCATGTTCACTTGCTCTTCTTATCTCCAGTTAAGTAGATTGGTGAATAGGAAGAGTAGGGCGAGGGAAGGATTTCGATATAGAATGCCAAGTCCCTGCATAAATTATTCACACAGAGATGAAACATACTACCTAATAACTGTTTGTCAAAGCTTAGTCTATGTAATCATTCTCAACCTGGATTAGTTGTGCAGTCATGACGGCTGGTAACAAATTGTTGACATCTTTGTTGTCTCATTCCTTAGGGTTCCAGGTCTTCTCTGGATGGTTCTCGGCCAGTTGGACAGGTAGACAAGCACATCCTGTTGCTGGTGCATGGGGTGGGAAATGCAGGTAAGAGCTGGGAAATATGAAGGGCTGATAATGATTTGCATTTTCTTTAGTTAGCAAAAGTGGTAGAGCAGTAAGAAGAAATCAGCGGTAAAACCAAGATTTTTATAGGCATACAGTTTTCTTGCTGAAGGCAGATTCACCTCTGGTCTTTGTGTGAGCTATGAGGGAGTCTATGGATCAAGGAAGAAAGCCATAATTAGATTTATATAATCCCAAGACTACCTGGAAGCCAGTGAAGTAATTTTAGAACAGCAGTCAAACTGCTATTGGTCTATAGAGACCTGTTTGTTAGAGCAGACTCAGAGACCCATATTAAAATAGAGTTAATGACTAATAACGAGAGCTTCAGTGATTTACTGAGTCGACTCGAGGATTCATACGTTGGATTGTTCAAGGCTGTAAAGATGGCTCAGGTGATCAAGGTCATCAACTATATAGAGTTTAGTGTCATCGGCATAGCAAGAAAACCTACAGTTATGTTTAGGCATGATTACCTTTAGTGGTTACATATAAGTGTCCATACAAAATGTACGTTGTAAAAAACTGAAGCTAGTTGAGTCCAAATTGTGTTTTGTCGAAAGTGTGTGCAACTGCAATTTTGGATGTGTGTGGGAAACAAGCAATGATTTAAAACTACCTCCAATGATGCTACTAATCATCGACTTTTCGGGGGCCACACTTTTTTCAGCGATTTATTAGATTTCGCACAGCATGCGAACATGCTAAACTAAACTGATAAATATGTTAACATGTTAGCATTGTCATTGTGAACATATTGCCATTCTAAAATTAGCATTGGTGTTGATTTGTTTGATCTGACTCAATTCCCTGATTCATTCCAAACCCACTGTTTGTCTCCTCATTTTTCTCACTTAGTACCTCTCATGTAACTTGCAAGGAGGACCGTGATGATCGATGTGATCCATCATACAATTTAGTTCTTTATAACCACCATGGCTGCAGAATCTTAGTTTGTTTATTCATCACTGAGAGGGAAATTGGGGTGTTGGCAGTAGTTTAGGTAAAATACAGCATTATGAGGATAAAATGCATATATTTACTGTAGCTCTGCATGCCATTAATTCAAAAATTGACATTTCACAGTGGTATTTACACGGTCACCCTCCATCTGTGGGTAATTAGTAAACAAACATAGCTGGGTCCCAGCTCTCTTTGGCTGTAGAAATGGTAAAGCAGTTCTCAATAATTCCCCAAATGCTTTTGGCTAATCGTGTTGCTCGTGGTGTTGTGGGATGAGGCATTTCGAAGCTGGATTGCTGTCAACACGAAGGAAGGCCTGTAGCGACGCTCTGCACTCCTCCGTGGAACGAGGCGGTTACTGATGCCGCTCCACTGCACTGACAGCGTGGTGACAAGGGGGTGGAAAACAGCCAGAGTTGGAGACAGTTTCGCTAACATCCTCCGCTGTACTTCTGCTCTCAGTGAGTGTGGCTCGGTCCACTGACAGAGCAGCCATTTGTCACCTACTTCTGCAGACATGGCTGTGAAAAAAAAAAAAGGCTCCTGCAAAGTTTAGACGCAAAAGTATACAGTGTGTCAGAAGGAAGTCATTTCAGTCAAGTGCTTGTGTTTTGACTAACTGAGATCAGTGTGAAATAACACTGCACACATGGTCTTTCTCATTTGTGGGTGGCAAAAAAAAACCTACTAGTGTGTACTCTGTATGTTGTCGAGAGAACAGTTTGTGTTTCTGCTCAGTGCTTATATTCTCATTTTCAGCCCTGTGTTTCCCTCGGAGTTGTAACTTAATTTATTTATTCTTATAAAGATTGTACAGAAGCTGAGAATAGCCATGCTTGCAATACAGTTGTATGCAAAACTTTGGCCACCCTTTGACAAATAATAATGATTTTTTTTTTTCATTGAAAAGAGGTAAACACTGCCTCTTGATTGTATGGAACATAAAACACAATATTTGCACAAAACAATTTTCAACTTAATTTTATTTCATAAATTGAAAAAAAAAAATTAATAAATGAAAACATCATTGTGGCATGTGTATGGTTTGGGCACCCTACATTGTTAGTGATAAGTAACCCCCCGGTAGATATAACAGTTTGCAAACACTTTACGTAACCAGCTAGAAGTCTATCAGTTCTTGTATTTGGGATTTCTACCCAATTTTCCTTGCAAAAGACTTCTAGTTCTGCAATATTCTTGGGGCATCTTGCATGCATAGCTCCTTTAAGATCTACCCACAGATTTTCAATGATGTTTAAGTCAGGGGACTGTGAGGGCCATTCCAAAACCTTCAGCTTGTTTCTCTTGAGGTAGTCCATGGTGGATTTCAAGGTACAATTAGGATCATTATCCTGTTGTAGAAGCTTCAGTTTTTTACAGTTGCTGTGATGTTTGCTGGTATAATCCATTCATCTCCACCCGTGCAATTTTTGCAACATCACTGGCTGCAACACAACAATAAAACAGATCCACCCCCATGCTTAACACTTCAGGAGGTGTGCTTTTAATTAAATGCTCCATTTTTTAAAAATTATTATTATTTATTACAATTTATTTATTTATTTTGTAATTGTCATCTCGAGGAAACGTGCTTGTTATCTCAAGTTAACGAGATAATCAAAATCATGAGAACACGAAAGGACATTTCCTCTTATTACTTAATTTGTTAATTAATAATGTGTACCAATATGTGTGTGTTGGTTGCCAGGGCCATTAAGCCAACAACACAATGCAGGATTCACAGTAAATAGGATCAGACAAGGTAACGATTCAGAAAATATTGTATTAAAGTCCATGGTCCTTCCAGTCCTTCATCATAGTCTTGTAGAACTGAGGCTGCGTCATAGATAGTCTGACGGAGTCAAGCCATTGTCAGTTCCTGTCTGTGCATTCACTCCAGCCCAATCACAAGAAAGGTCATATCACTGCCATGACAACAAGTTGTCACTGTCAACAACTGGCATGCCAATATTATCTGTACTCAAGGTTTACAGATAAAGAGGAAGATAATGGAGAACTCAGAGAGGAATTGACAGGAAACATTCATTCTCGTATAGTCCACCACTAAACCTATACAGCAGCTGCTTGACCAATAAACAGCTGGATTAGTAACTCTGTGTGGCAGTCACAGCTTTTAAGCTATTGGGTACCTGTAAATAATGCTATAAGGAGTTCAATCTAGATCTGCTCTATTTGAAAAGTGTCCTGAGATAACTTCTGTTACGAATTGGCGCTTACAAACAAAACTGAATTAAGCCCCTGTTCAAGGCACAATATAAAGCCCAGGCGAGTGCCAGGCAATCAGATGCTGTCTTCCTGAATAGGCGCAATTTTATGATGAGCTGTTGAACTTGTTGAATTTTGTTCTGTTATGGACACTATTTCCTTTATTCATGTTGCTGTCGTTGGTCTGGACCTCAGCCTAATAATATTCATATGTGGGCCTTGTTGATCACTGCCTGTGTACAGGCTGCTGTTCCCCATGTGGGCACCTTGATGGCACTGTTGCACTTGGAATAGTTCCCTTGTCTAAGACAGGCAGGGATTACATCAGCGGTTTCTCAGAAGCACAACTCATTAAAATCCTTGTCTGCTCGTCCACTCACTCCACTGTACTTTCAACTTTTTTTGCAGCATCACTGGGCAGCTGTATTGAATTCCTTCTTGAAGTGTTTTTGTAAAGTACGCCATTATTTTGTCAGCAGAAGAAAATACTGAAGTTAAAAGAATACACAGCACTGTAAACAATTATCAAATACTTTCTAACATTGTATAAGTTCACTCTTAATTTGGAAATCAAGAAAGTTAACTTTGGGTCCATTTACCAGCTTTTGTCAGAGCTTTTAACCACATCTCGCGGCTTTTATCAGTGGCTGGAGTTTGCTCAGTTGAAATGGAGAAATATCTAGGTCATGTGAGTACCACTGAGCTATCTCAACAACAGAGCAAACTCTGCTGCGCACTGCCAGTCACACGGACGCACTCTCAGTTCCATTTATACTACAGTTGAGGGTCCGTGTCTGTCTGGCATTACTCACTTGCGCACAGCACTAACACTACTGTGGTCTGACTGTGAGACTATATGGATGTAGTTTGACTGGGGGCAGGGCTGAGGTACACGCAGAACAGAGGCCCAGCAGACAGTGCAGCTTTGGCCGGATTTACTCAAAATCCAGCACCTTTTGCAGGGTTGTGCGGAAGTGTGGCTGTGTCTATTTGTGCTTTAGAAATATAACCGCTGTGAAACAATCAAACTGATTCAATGCTTTGTTCTATGCGCTCTCTCTTCACTCACTCTGTAGTTTGTTACCACAGCTGCTCTCTGTTGAGCCAGGGAGCATGTGTAGTTGGTGCGCTTTATATGTGTAGTGCGTGTGTTCCAAAATGTTGGGCTGCATGCAGACACCCCTTGATGTCACGCTGACCAAAGCGTACCCATGCAGAAGCGGAAAGTAATAATTTGCCTGAAGGCCATGAGATGGTAAATGGACCTGTAAACATGGTATAGCGCCTTTCTATTTCGACCACTCAAAAGCGCTTTTACACCTACATGCCACATTCACCCTTTCCCACACACATTCACTCAGTGATGGCAAAGTCCATCGAACAGAAACTAACGCATTCATACAGCATTTTCACACACCAATGCACAGCATCGGGAGCAATTTCAGGGTTCAGTGATCTTGCTCAAGGATACTTTGACATGTGTGCAGGAGGAGCCGGTCGAACCAACAACCTTCCGATTAAAGTTTTTTTTTTTACTAAAATGGACCAAACTACATGTATGGACTCAGAAGATGAGTGGAAAAGTTGCTCAAAAGGCCAAAAGCTGATATGAATTTCCTGATGGTTAGACATCAGGAAATTGCAGGGAATGTATCATAAAGAGTTAGTTGATTCTTGACCTTTAGAAGAAAGAATCTGAACTCAACTTCTGCTGCTAGCTTTTGTTCCAACCTTTATCCTTGAATGGAGACCAGCTGTTGAAATACGATCAGATTCCATACTTAACTTAATAACATCTAATGTCAGTTGCTTCACTCAGGCCATTCAATCACCAAAATCCAACCACATGTGTATTGTACTAGCCTGAACATGTGTATTTGCAGCATGAGGGTGATACAGAGATGTTGTTCACTGTTTGCTCAGGTCCAGAGATCACAGATGAGCTGGTCAAGGTGCTGCGCAAGCGCCTGGATGAAACCACCTTGGACATCATCACTGTCATGCTTGTGAGGAACTGCAAGCTGACTCCGGCTGACGTAGAGGTAAATTGCTTTTTGATGTCTGCTGTAATTTGTATAGAAGAATTTGGGGGAAAGCACTGCAATGGGTTTGTGTGAGTTTATTTGTGGCTGATCTGTAGTTCTGGGTACATGTACCTGTGTGGGTCAGTGAACAAATTGCTTACACTTCCAGAATGCTGGGTTTTATTCTCACTGGGGCAGCCTGAAAACTCTTGTATGCACTCAGTGCTACTGAAAATTGCTTTGGGTAGAAGCCTTCACTAAACGTTGTCTGGTCAGTTCATCCAGCCATCAGGATCTCCCGCCACTGAGGTGATGAACTTCAGCCTCCCCCAGTACTGCCTTCCCTGGCTGCCCGCTGTGGCTCACTACCTCAGGCAGAACCTCCTCATCTTCCTGCATGTTCCCAAGTACACCGACAGCAACACGGCACACCAATTCAAGGTATATTCCAGACAGACGTTTGACATGTAACAGGATGTGTTGAGTGTAATGTGTATCTGGATCTTTAATGTACATTTTACATAAATGCCTGGAAAAGAAAGAACTAGAATTCTGAATATCAAACCTTTTTTTGAGATACAGACAGAATAAGTTCAGGAAAATTCAGCTTTATCTTGGGTCTTTTTTGTAGTTTTGCTGCGAAATAAGTGGTGCTTGAAGCATGGTGGTGTAGTGACTACTCACAGAGCTAATTTATGAACTAACTGTTAAGGCCTCTACACACCAACCCGATTATCGGCCGTCAGACGACGTCGGACAGTCGGGCTCGGTCGGTGACTCGAATTGGTTCGGTGTGTCCCGTGCCGTCGTCAGTCGGCGTCGGCGTCGGCCTTCATTTTGGCCGATTCGACATGTAGAATCGGCCAGTGGCCGTCGGCCTCAATGACCAATCTGATTGGTGGAGTGCTAGCCCTTGACTAGCGAA